GACGCACATGCGCCACTTTCCCGAACTCTTCTTCACCAGTACCATATTTGCCAGCCATGTGGTGTACCTGACTTCACGGATGAAGCTGGCGCTCAACAACTTTTGTGACTCGGTGATGATGGCCTCTCGCCTCTCACCACCGACCTTTCTCTTTCTCTGGGCCACTGGCTTTGCTTCCTTGTGTATTGCTAACCTGTGACAGATGAAGTCGGCGTCTATACTTGGCATGTCAGCGCTGGACCAGGCGAAGAGGTAAGCATTTTTGAGGATTTCTACTTCGAGCTGCTGTCGCAACTCCGGGCTCAACTGTCTACTGATCTTTGTGCACTCCCTGGGAAAATTTCCGATCTGGAGTTCATCGAGCTCGTCGACGGGGCTTGGCTGTTCTTCACGAGAGTCGGATCTCGGATCGAGATCAGTGATTTCTTCGTGGTTGATGTGAGCTGCGGTGGGAGGGCCACTTTTGCATTGTTCACCGGGTGAGGCGATCTTCAGGCTTTCTATGTAGCATTGCCGTGCCGTCTTCTGGTTCGCCTTGATAGAGATAATCTTCCCATCATTCCCTGGGAATTTCATGGTGAGGTGTGGGGTCGACACTACTTCTCCGAGTTGATTCAAGGTCGGCCTCCCGATGATTATGTTGTAGGAAGTGTTGGCTTCCACGAGGAGGTACCGAACCATGACCCGCCTTGTGTCTGGAGGTGCTCCAAAAGTTGTTAGTAGGTCCACGTACCCCTGAGTGTGAACTATCTTTCCTGCAAAACCGACTAGGGGCTCTGTGTGAGGTTGTATGAGAGAGTGGGGGATGTCTAACCTGAGGAACATTGGTCAATACAGGACGTCGGCCGAGCTCTGTTGGTCGATCAGTGTCTTGTGAACCTCCCAATTGGCCAACTCCACGGCTATAACCATGGGATCATCCTGGTTGGGATTGACTTCGGCATAGTCTTTGTCGGTAAAAGTAATCATCGGTAAGCTCTAGTGCGAAGCTGAGGTGGTAGGGTGTATGCAGTTGATATTGGGCAGGTGTCTTTTACGGGCCGAGCTGCTGGCACCCCCTCCTGCGAAACCACCTGCAATTGTATTGATTACTCCCCGTAGGGGAGCTGGCCCCGTTTCCTGGCTTACCTCGGCTTGCACTGCTCTGCCGGGGTTGAGTTGAGAACCAGAGGGTTGGTTCGTGCGAGCTCCTGAACCATGTCCTCTATCTCGTCTTGGTCCATCGTAGCTTCCCTGGTGACTTTGCTGGACATAGTGGCCGAGGTGGCTTGATTGGATGAGTTCTTCGATGCGATCTCGGAGTGTGCGGCACTCCTCGGTGGTGTGGCCGTGATTCCTGTGGTACTGGCAGTGTTTGGACTTGTCCGCACTGTTGGGAGTGTGGCCTGGCGGTGGCAGGGCGAGTAGGTTGCTATCACTGGCCTCCTCCAGAATGTGGACTCTGGATGTGTTCAGGGGAGTGTAGAAGTCATATCTCCCCCCTCTGTTTGTTCTAGCCGACTTCTTGAACTGGCTATCGGTGTTGACCCTGATTTTGTCTTTGTGGCCCTGTTCAGGCTTCATTGGTCCTTTTCCACGAATTTGATTACGGAAAGCGGAGTGTTCCTCCATCTGGATGTATCCTACAGCGTGAGCGCAGAGCTCATCCATGTCGCGGGGAGACTCGTGACATAGGCTGTCGGCGAATGGCCTGGGCTTGAGTGCCATAAGCATAACATGTAGGGCGACCTCGGGGTTCAAATTTTTGATCTTAACCGAGGTGGTGGCAAATCGTTCCATGAACACCCGGAGTGGTTCGTCGTCGTCCTGCCTGAGGCTGGCCAGGGCGGCCGAACGCGGCCGAACTGACATGGTGAGGACGGCTCGTCGCATATTGCGCTGTGAACCTTTTGACTAGGGTGCCGAAGCTATCAATGGACTCGGTGGGTAGTTGGGTGTACCAGTTGTGCGCGGCCCCTTGAGCGAGGTCGGAAAAACCCTACACAGAATAGCGTCATTGTTAGTGTAGAGGTTTACTAGTGTTGTATACAGGTCGATGTGCTCATTTGGGTCCGTCGTGCCATCGTAGCGATCGAGGTGGAGAGGCTTCCAGCCATGAGGGGGTGGTGTCTCCATGATGCCATCCACGAAAGGGTGGCGATGGAAGGTTGCCTGATCCCCTGGGATATGAGTAGGGGCCTTGCTGACTTCATGGGCCGACTTGTGTGTCGGTGCATGGGACTGATGCGTGGTAGGTTGTTGATTCGGTGCCCTAATTGCGGTCCGGGGTTGAGAGACTGAGTGCTCCTCCTCCTCATTGTGGTTGCCCGTATGAGGAGGATGATCAGGGTGGTGCCGAGGGAGTTGAGCGCAGATTCGCTCGTTCTCGGCGTGTAGCGCCGCCAGGTCAACTTCATTAGCGGTACGCATTACCGCTAGGTCAATGTCGTGCTTGGCACACATGCTTTGTAGGTCGACGGCGTGTTGCTGTCGCATCTGTTCGACCTGGTCGATTAGTCTCCTCAATGCTGCTTCGTCATCCATGGTAGTTGGGTGATTTGCGTCGTCTACTATGGCTTCTGGTGAATACCATAAGCGTGGCCGATAAGAGTTGTCTTGATCGGCCCCACGGTGGGCGCCAAATGTTCTTACCGGAAATATGCTGTAGAGATGATCTGCCGAGTAAGATTGGTGAGCCTCCTTCACTGGTACGCTTGCTGCTCCAAGATGGGGGTGGTACCTGCAAAAGAGACTCCGATGCTAAAGTTAGGGTTTGTGTGAATATGAGTCTCGTATAAATAATGCACGTACCTTAGTATGAGTTAGGGTTGCGTTGGGCCTTGGGCCTAAGATAAGATATGATATGATTAGATAACGGATCTCATCTAAAGCGAGATCCCCTGAGATCGGTTATGATTTATTTAAGTGTCGATCTGACGTCACGCGACGCGTGCCCGAGATCGTCTTATGTTGTGATGCCGAGGTGGGAGCTCGGCTCTGGAGTGTGGATAGTACAACAACTATACAAGGAATACTATGTACAAGTATCATACAATGTATATACAATGGAAGCTTAGAAGACTAATAAGAGGAATCATAATCAATGCTCATGAAGAGTAAAGGTCTAATGGCCATCATGCATGCCTCTTCCTTGGATGGTCCTCCATCAGATGACCTAGCCGTCACACTTCCCTATGTCATGACCTCACCCCACACTTATAAATACCTTAGGACTCACCTCTTGTAAACACTTTGGATAATGAATATAGAGAGAGCCTTTGTGCCTTTATATCATCCTTAGTCACCCTTGGCTAATTTCATCCACGACTATTCCTATCTCCACCTTGAGAGAAAAACCCTAGAAGTGTCCTTCAACTACCTTGGAGTGTGCCAAACCCTAGAGTCGCTCTCAAACCTTTCATCAAACACCTTCACCCCACTCTCCATTTCCACCCAATCCTCCCTTAAAGACGCCCTTGGAGAGCTTGTTCCAAGGAGTCAAAGGTGTCATTGGCCATTGATCCTCATCTCTTCCATCAATGCAAGCAAGGATGCCATCAGGTGGTATCTAAAGCCTATGTTCTTAAAGGGTAACTTCTTATTTTCATTTTGTATTTCTGGTCATGTTCATGTGTCTTCTTGCTTGTCTCTAAAGTTGTGCTAAAGTGGGTCATCATCTTGATATACTTTCATGATTCCATATTTTTTCTTTGAAGTGTTGATTCATGCCATACTCATTCTTGTGAATCATCTTGGTGTTTTAGGCTTCCTTGCTTAAGTTCTTACCATTTTTCTTTTAAGTTTGAGTTGCTGGAAATTTTGGGCTGCCTGATAAATATTGATGAAATGATGATTTTTGTTTTGTAATCCTTCCGGTTTTGTTATAAACTTGTCTCTTTCGAAAACTACCTTGAAAAGCATTCCAAGTATTCATGCTTTATCCTTGGAATGATCAAAATATGACATGCATGCCACATGTTTGATGAAATCCGCGTGAGTCTATAGTGTGCTTTAGAGAGTCAATCATGCATGATAATTAGTTTTAGCATGTTCTACATCATTTAAAATATCATGTGTGATTAATTTCTTTGCACATACTTGCTTAAAATTTTTGGCCAATTTTGTGTATTTCTTGGTGTACTTGTATGCCTGCATGTTGTTTGATGATTTGAGTGTGAAATTGAATTCTATATGCCTATTAAAAACCTAAGAAAAACCCTCAAATCTTGTCTCATTGAGCTAGTGTAAGTTACTAAAAGAATACTCCAAAAATTTGCTAACAAAACCAGCTAACACAAGTGTAAAACCCAAGCAAAGGAATAGTATAAATCAAACATGTTAAGTGCATCATTTTTCTTTTAAGCCTACTTTCTAAATTCTAATCTAGTGCCATTCTAGGAATTATTCTCTTGTGTGTTTACATTTCTTAAATACGCCTTAATTTTAGTTTTGTGTCTTCTTCCTACTCTTAAGTTTGTCTTATGAAATTCCACTTGAGTTTAGCCTTTTTAATTATGCCTTTTTAGTTTTTCTTCTTTGGCCTCTTGTACTCTTGGGTTTTGGTTTCTTGTTGACCTAGGTGAGGAAAGCTTCTATACACCACACTTTCTCTTGGTGGATTGAGTGGAAGGGCTGTCCGATTTGAGTTCAAGGAGGTTTGGAGGATCACACCAAATTAAAGAGTATAAACACCTTTGAAAGGCTAACCTTGGGAGTTCATTGTGAACGGGTGGAGATTTGAAGACTAGAAGATTTAACAATTTCTTTTTCTTACTTGTTTCTTTCTTGTTTTCTTTTTGGTCTTCTTGTATTTGGCCTTTGCTTTCTTTCATTTTGGGTTGTAAGTGGCCATTATTAAACCTCTTCATTTTTGGTGGTAGTTTCGTATAGATTGAAGGTGATTTGAAAACCTTCAGCTAGGAAATCCGACTAGTATATGTTTAAGTTTTTTCCTTTGCATGCTTTATAGCTTTTGTAGTATAATTGCCTAGGTCTTTACTTTGTCTCTTTGTTTCGTTTAGAAGGCTACAATTTTCCCACTAGGGGGCCGTGCACACACACACATAAATTTTGTGCAAAAAACTGTTTTGTAAGAAAAGTGTGAAAGGGCTTAGTGATTTCTACTTGAAAAGGCTTGGTTTTTAAGTGATTCCTTGTAGTCCACCTCCCTTTGATAGTTCAATTTGTACACTTAGGCCTTTTTATACGAATCTTGCACCTTTAAAAACTTTTTGTGAAAACCTTTTTATCACTCACTCTTTGTGAAAACCATTTTGTGCCAATCTTTTGAACTTAATTTGTGAAAACCTTTTCTTGATCAAAGATGAGTGATCATTCTAGTGTACATGGTCATAACTCTTGTAGTACTAGGTCTAGTGTTAGGGATGAACTTAGGCAATTAAAAGAGTACCTAAGAAAAAAGGAAGAGGAAAATATAAAAAGAGAGGAAGAGTTAAGAAAATGAGAAAAATAATGAAGAAATAAAAAGGTTGTTTGCTAGGTTAGTTGTGGGGGGAGAGGCTAGTGGTTCAAGACCAAGAGTCTCTTCCCCTAAATCCTCAAAGGGCAAAGGGGTTAGAATACCCTCAAGTATTCATGAGGAGGAAGGGCATCATACCCAACTTCCAAGTGAAATCTTCTATAGTTGTCATCACAATGATGACTACTATCAAAGACCCCCAAGGCAACATAGACATAGGGAGTCTTCCAATAGGGAATCCAACATCACTCTTCCCCCATTCCATGGCAAAGACAATGTTGAAACTTATTTGGATTGGGAAATGAAAGTAGAACAACTATTTTCTTTCCATGGAGTGAGTGAAGAGAGAAAGGTTTCTTTGGCAACCCTTAGCTTCCAAGGGCATGCCATGTATTGGTGGACTTCCTTAGAAAAAAAAAAGAAGAATAAACCATGAGCCCCCAATTCAATAATGGAATGAGCTCCGTAGTGCCTTGAGAAGGAGGCATATTCCTCCATACTATGACCATGAGCTTATGGACAAGCTACAAAGATTGAAACAAGGGTCATCTAGTGTGGAAGAATATAGGCAATCTATGGAGTTACTCATGATGAGGGTTGGGATAAGGGAAGAAGAAAGGACCACCATCTCAAGGTTTCAAAGTGGTCTTAACCTTGATATAAGAGACAACGTTAGCTCGACATCTAAATAGGTCATAACTGATCTCGGGCCCAAGGCCCAACGAAATCCTAATTCACACTAAGGTACGTGCATTACTTATACGAGACTCATTCTCACACAAACCCTAACTTTGGCATCAGAGTCTCTTTTGCAGGTACCACCCCCATCTTGGAGCATCAAGCATACCAGTGAAGGAGACTCACCGATCTTACCCAGCACATCGTCCCTACCACCGATCTCTGGTAAGAACATTTGGCACCCACCGTGGGGCCGATCAAGACAACTCTTATCGGCTACGCTTATGGTTTTCACCAGAAGCCATAGCAGACGCGCAACATATGACCTAGATCACGCAACTAGCATGGACAACGAAGCAGCATTGAGAAGGCTGATCGAGCAGGTCGAGCAGATGCGACAACAACACATCGCTGATCTGCAAAGCATGTGTGCCAAGCACGAAACTGACCTAGCAGCGATGCGAACCGCTAACGAAGCTGACCTAGTGGCCCTACGTGCCGAGAATGAGCGTATCCATGCTCAGCTACCACAGCGCATCTTTGATCAACCCCCTCAACCGAGTAACCTAAA